TTCCTTCACGTGGAAAGGGGGGCAAGACGCGGACCTCGGAGCGCCGGGGCCGGGTCTAGAGCGGGGCCTCCCGCCCCCCGGGCCCCGAGGACATCCCCGCCCTCCCACACCCTTCCCGACCCCGACAGCTCCCTTAGTCCGGCCCGTTCAGCACTGCCCTGGTCGCGGGTTTCGGGACGCAGGCCACGAGGGCTGAGAACCAGGAGCCAAGACACCCACCTAGGTCCATGGCGGCGACGTTGGCGGCTGCGCGGGCCGCCCCTCCCCCGCGACGCCCCGAGGGCGGCGCAGGCGCCACGGCACAATGGGTGGTTCCGGGGGCGGGGGCGGCACAAGGGGCCGCGTCTCAGCCCCCGCCCACCATCTCAGCCCAGGCGCTGCGCAGCCGGCCGCAGTCCTCCCGCCGCTCCGCGCACGCGCAGTCCTCACCAACAGGTCCGCGGCGCCCCAGCAACCCGGCCCACAGCGCCCCCTACCAGCCCGAGGCCTCCAATCAGCCAACAGGCAAGTCCCGCCCTTCCCTTCCGTAGAGTGCGCCTAGCCCCGGCCCCCAGCTCCGGTCCCCACGGTTCCCTTTGCTCCCGCGGCTCAGCCACGCCTCTGTCCAGCCCCTGCCCAGACCAGCTTCGTGAGTCCCGGCGGTTCCTACCCGCTAGCTCCGTCCCAGGCTCTGTGTTCGCTACCATCCAGGAACCCTCGGGATCCTTCGCTTACAGTTCATCCGTACTGAACGACCTCCCCAGCCTGCCCACTAACCCGCCCATCTGTGCCTCTCAGAATGAGGCTTCCTGCCCTGAAGAGTGTCTGTCGCACAGACGCACATTCCACTCCCCTCAGCTCCGCCCCAGCGCACTTTTCTCACGGCAGCAAGTATCCTTAATTTTCTGGCATCGTAGGCGCCTTTAAAGTGTTATTGGCTGCCCTCCCCAGAAAATGCACTTTGCTAGCCAGAGCAACGGTGGGGGAGATCCAATCCAATAGCCCCCGGTTCTGAGAGAACACATACACGAATTTCCTATGTTCGTCTCACACATTACCATGTCTCCTGTGCTCCCTTTCCCTTCTTCCCTGACCTAATCACTAACCACTAGTGTTTCTAACTCTCCATCCTCCAGCTTCCAGCACCAGCTATCACCTAGAGAGGACATAGGGGCCGGGCTTCCCCTCCTCCAATGTGCCAAGTGGAGTTTGAGCTGGCCTGTGCCGCTATTAAGCAGTTGAAGGGACCTGTGAGTGATCAGGAGAAACTGATGGTGTACAGCTTCTACAAACAGGCCACCCAGGGCGATTGCAACATTCCTTCCCCACCTGCCACAGATGTGAAAGCCAAGGCCAAGTGGGAGGCATGGAACGAGAACAGAGGGATGTCCAAGATGGATGCCATGAGAATCTATGTTGCCAAAGTGGAAGAACTAAAGAAAAAGGATACTGGTTAAGGAGGACAGAGTGTGAAACAGAATGAAGTAGCAGGGTTCCTCCGGTAGGGAAAAGGGCTTCTTAAAAGACCGATGGCTGAAACATCCCGAAACCATAACCACCATAGCTGAGAAACATCAATAAATCTCTTAAACTGCATGAGTGTGAATGACTGTTGTTGGAAAGATGATTAAACTAAAAGTGACTGTGAGAGTCCTGAGGTGTCCAAAATATGTAAAAAGCAGCTCTGCTCTAGGGAAAGTTCCATCACAACTGGCTTTATGATTTCGAATAACAGTTCCCAGCCTTCCTATCCCAGAGTATATGCAAATGCTTGGCAGGAGGAAAGAAGTTGGGGGAAGAATCATGCTATAAAATGCCTCAATGAGGTCAAAAGACCATTCTTCAGAGGCTTGGCCTCCCGGGAAAGGGGAAAGGAGGAGAGGAGGCCAAGGCCCCTTAGCTCTTCAGGGGCAGTCCGTTCACTACAACCCAACATTAGTGAGGGGAAAAGGGCTTTGGTTTCCAAAAAGTTAAAGTCAAATCCTACTACCAAAAGCCCCTACTGGAACGCAGGCCTGACGGAGTTAATATTTTGAGGGAAGTCAAGTGAAGCAATTGATGCATGACAACACAGCAGACTAGAAACAACAGATCAGATGGTTTCAAAATCCCAGTCTCCAAAAGCTTCATTGGAGGCCATGCAACCAAAGTTTTCTTGGAATTAGTTCGTAGCTAACCCTGGTTTCCGCTTGGGAATGTCTATGGGACAATACGTGTATATGAATTTGTTTTAGAAGCACAACACACCCCTTGACAAGAGCCAAACACACCCCTTTGGGCAAGGGCCAAAGTGTCTGTGCTCAGCTTCCACTCCTTAGTGCCAATTATCACAGAGGCATCGATGCACAGTAAGTGCCCTGGGATATGGAGGAAGCTATGTGCTATCATTAAAGGCATTTCAGAGAAAAAGCTCTGCTGTGGCATGGGCCTTCCCAACACTTTTCCTCAGAAACTATTTTCATAGATTAAGACAGGTCAGTTTTAGTTCCTGAAGGGCCATTAAACAACAGAAGCAACAACCATAAAGATTTCAGAGGACAAAGGAAACCAAATCTCACCATGTATTTTCAGGATCTTCTGTTCATGTCTTTGCAAGAAGTTGCTATAGACTAAGTACATGACGTGAGAATAAAGTATCCCCAGGATGTCACAGTGACTGAAGAACTATTTTAGGTTGGGCAAGAGCCACTTTGTACAACAGTTGTGCTGTCCTCTCTTCTTTTGGAGGATATTACAAGCACATTTTGATGCTTTAAGGCCCCGATTCACAAGAAGTGTGAATTACTAATAAAAATAATAATGGAACATCTTGCTCCAAAATATGGTGTTAACTGAGGCACTGCAGGTGTTAAGTCATACCATTCTATAAATCATTATAAAACCTGATAAAAATGCACCATAGTTAGGACTGCAGAAAGCAACTACAGGATACATTATTAAAAAATATATAGTGTGTACAGTATGCTGAAATTTGTGGGGAAAAGGGAGAAAATAAATATATTTGTCTGCTTAATAAGGAGGCAAGGGGAATGGAATTGGTAGGAGCAAGACTTTTCAATGTATATCTTTTTAATTTTTGATTTTTGTATCACTGACTCTGTTACAGAAGTCTGAGGCAAGAGTATTTCTTGGGGCGCCTAGGTGGCTCAGTTAGTTACAACCGACTCTTGGTTTCCACTCAGTCATGATCTCAGGGTCATGAAATCGAGCCCCACATTGGGCTCCAGGATCACTGTGGAATCTGCTTAAGTTTCGCTCTCCCTCTGCCCCCACCCTGACCCTCTAAAAATAAATAAAATCCAAAAACAACAACAAAACAAGAGCATTTTTTTGTTGTTACTGATCATTAAGGCCAGAGTAAATTTCCTATTGACTTCCCAGAAAGATAAGAAATCTAAGACCAAACTGAAACTACCCATGAACTCTCACTATAAATTTCAGTGGACAAATTGGAACCCTCCTAAAAACTGCTAAACCACAATGGCAACTGCATGTGACAGGTGAGATGGGCAGAGTGTCCCATAAAGGAGCTGTGAATGTCCACAGCTTTGCTAATTCTACCAAGATGTCAAGCAAATGTGGATTTCATACTAAATCCCTGGGTAGGCCTGGGGAGCGCTTGCAACCCAGCCATTCTAAATTTCTCTGGATTTAAACCCAAGGGAAGTTTGAATTTAAACTTAATATGCCAGAACTCCTCAACCCTCAAGGCAAAAAACCCCCAAAATAACTGTTATGAAAACACAACTCTAGAGAAGCCAAAGAACTTTCCAACTTCATCTGTTTTAAAACGCCAGCTTGGGCAAAACCATCTTATAACCTTGTTTTCTAATAGAGCATACCATCCTCAGAGGTGTTATTCAAAATCCATACAATAATTTCCCCGTGAATAGGAAAAAAGTGAACCAATGGTCTAGAGAAGGGACATATATAACTTGGTTTGCTCTGAAACTCTATCTCAAGACAGTTTAAGTTGAATGAAAAGTGCCGTGGAGCTGGAAAAAGATTTTTTTCTCTCGGTGAAGGTAAGATTACCCTAACAGAAGGTGAGCTGAAACCCTGAAATTTCCTGGCAGCACAGAACATCACAGGTGATTTCATATATATTATTCTGGAACTGGTAACCTCTGAGTCAATCCTTTTCAATCTCCTCAGCTTCTTGCCTAAAATCTGAACCTGGCCATTACCATTTTAAACAGAGTCTCAGAGGCTGGTGTAACAACGTGATTCAAGAAGTATACTTTCAAAAACCATTTATTTTTTTTTTTAAACTTATTTATTTATTTGATAGAGATCACAAGTAGTCAGAGAGGCAGGCAGGGAGAGAGGAGGAAGCAGGCTCCCCGCCGAGCAGAGAGCCCGATACGGGGCTCAATCCCAGGACCCTGAGACCATGACCTGAGCTGAAGGCAGAGGCTTTAACCCACTGAGCCACCCAGGCGCCCTAAAAACCATTTATAATAAATATGGCCAATATAATTCTATTTCCAATGATTAAAATTTATTTCTTCTTTGGAACCAAATAGAAAACTACAAGAAATCATTAAAAAGGGGCGCCTGGGTGGCTCAGTGGGTTAAGGCCTCTGCCTTTGGCTCAGGTCATGATCTCTGGGTCCTGGTCGCCCCACATTGGGCTCTCTGCTCAGCAGGGAGCCTGCTTCCCCCTCTATCTGCCTGCCTCTCTGCTGACTTGTGATCTCTGTCTCTCAAATAAGTAAATGAAATCTTTAAAAAAAAAAAATCACTGAAAAAAATTTTTTTCAGGCTGAAGAAATAATCTAATCTATATTTAAGAAATCTAACCCATATTTAAAAAATTGAAATTCTCACAAAGATTTAAAAAGTTATATAAGGAAAATAGCATGAAGCCAGGCATGTAGCAACATAGCACATTAGCTCCTTCCATCTGTTTTCTCTGGCTGCTCAGAATTTCAAAGCAAAGAATGTGTTGGGTGTTAGTCAAATCTCTTGATTCAAGAACAAATTTCTTTAATATTTTTCTTTTTTTTTAATTAAAAAAATTTTTAAGATTTTTTATTTATTTCACAGAGGAGAGAGATCACAAGTAGGCAGAGAAGCAGGCGGTGGGGGGGCAGGCTCCCCACTGAGCAGAGAGCCCAACTTGGGGCTTGATCCTAGTACCCTAGGATCACGACCCAAGCTGAAGGCAGAAGCTTTAACCCACTGAGACACCCAGGCGCCCCTCTTTAATATTTTTCAGTGTCAAGGCCTGCCAGAGGAAGGCATTAGAACAGCATGGTGCCAGAAGTAGTCCTGCTATAAGCTTATCAAAATTCCCTCCATCTCCAACCACAGGTAGTGTCCCACATAGCTGCCCAATCTAAAAAATAATTTATGACTAATCTAATTGAGTTACACAAAGAATGTGCCATTCCAGTAACACTGCTGATTACAGCAACAGTTCTCCTCTAACTGGATAGACAGTAGGATTTTATTTCTAAAATATATCTTAGCGCTTTCAAAGATTAAGACACACAGATTTTTACCACCCCAGCTTCCTTGCTGGTACAGGAGACAAGCAAGGTATGAGGGTCTTTATCATGCATGGACACATCAGGCCTTGCAGGTGCTAGACAGGAATCACAAATGCTTGTTCCACATCATGTCTTCTGTTACCCCGAAGCCTTTGATTTCTTGTGTCTAGCAAACCATTCATCACTTTTATCTGCCGCCATTGCCTGCAGAAAAGAGAATTGGAATATATATTTAAGCCCATAAAACAATACAGTCCACTTTGTACCTCACTGCACTTCCTGTAGTCATTAACAAAAAATGCTCATTTGGGGAGCCTGGGTGGCTCAGGTCATGGTCTCAGGCTCCTGGGATCTAGCTCTGCTTCAGGCTCTCTGCTCAGCGGGGAGCCTCCTTCCCCCTTTCTCTCTGCCTGCCTCTCTGCCTACTTGTGATTTGTATCTGTCAAATAAATAAATAAAATCTTAAAAAAAAAAAGTGCTCATTCAGGGGGCACCTGGGTGGCTCAGTGGGTTGAGTGTCCGACTCCTGGTTTCAGCTCAGGTCATGATCTCTGGGTTACGGGATCCAGCCCCATGTCAGGCTCTGCACTGAGCATGGAGTCTGCTTTAGTTCTTGCTCCCTCTCCCCCCAGCTCACGTTCTCACTCTCGCAGATAAATAAATCTTAAAAAAAAATGGGGCGCCTGGGTGGCTCAGTGGGTTAAGCCGCTGCCTTCGCTCAGGTCATGAGCTCAGAGTCCTGGGATCGAGCCCCGTATCGGGCTTTCTGCTCAGCAGGGAGCCTGCTTCCTCCTCTCTCTCTGCCTGCCTCTCTGCCTGCTTGTGATCTCTCTCTGTCAAATAAATAAATAAAATCTTTAAAAAAAAAAAAAAAAAAAAGCATTCATTCGGCATAGAGTATTATGTTTAATTTGATAGGATGTAAGAATTGAGCAACTGTCTGCAGGTTTTTTTTAAAAGATTTACTTTTGTAAGAGAGAGAGAGAGAGCATGCAAGAGAGTGAGAAAGCACGAGTTGCGGGGCTGGGGCAGAGGGAGAAGCAGGCTTCCTACTGAGCAGGGAGCCTGATGTGGGACTTGATCCCAGAACCCTGGCATCATAACCTGGGCCGAAGGCAGACACTTAGCCAACTAAGCCACCCAGGCGCCCTCAAAAGACTCTGTTAAGAAAATAAACTGGCAAGCCATAGACTGGGAAAAGTACTTGCATTTGTAGATACTTAACAAATGACTCACAACCAGAACTCCAATCAACAAGATAAATAACCAATTTTTTAAAAAAATGGATTTGAATGGGCCTTAAAAAATAAGCAAATATTTAAATGAGGGACATTCCAGGAGAATAAAATCGTGTGAGCAGTCACATAGTGTGAAAATACATTCATAGAGATTACAGACTAGAACGGCTAAAATGTAAAATAGATCAGAGGTGTGTCTTCCAACTAGTTTGTCATGAATCTCAATGGCTCATATAAATTGTTCTGTATTGGGGCGCCTGGGTGGCTCAGTGGGTTAAATCCTCTGCCTTCAGCTCAGGTCATGATCCCAGGGTCCTGGGATTGAGCCCCACATCCGGCTCTCCGCTTGGTGGGGAGTCTGCTTCCCCCTCTCTCTCTCTGCCTGCCTCTCTGCCTACTTGTGATCTCTCTCTCTCTATCAAATAAATAATAAAATCTTAGAAATAAATAAATAAATAAATAAATAAATTGTTCTGTATTGATACAGCCCAATTATATTAAAACTACTTAAAAATGCATAGGGAAAACCAACTATATAAAATCATTTTTCATTAATTAGGGAAATTTTATTTTTTTAAAGATTTTATTTATTTGACAGAGAGAGATGCAGGGAGGGAACACAAGCAGGGGGATTGGGAGAGGGAGAGGCAGGCCTCCCATGGAGCAGGGAGCCTGATGCGGGGCTCGATCCCAGAACCCTGGGATCATGACCCAAACCAAAGGCAGACATTTAACGACTGAGCTACCCAGGTACCCCTAATTAGGGAAATTTTAATAAAACTGGATTTTAAGTGACATTAAGGATATATACTGGTGATTTTTAAAATTGTGCTAATATCAATATGGTACATAAGAAAATTCCTTGACTTTTACTTCTTTTAAATAATTTAAAAATGTATAAAATACTGGGGTGCCTAGGTGGCTTAGTCAGTTAAGCATCTGCATTCACTTGCCATCCCTCCTGGCAGCATCAGCTTTCTTTCTTTTTTTTTTTTTTTTTAAGATTTTTTTATTTATTCATTTGACAGATAGAGATCACAAGTAGGCAGAGAGACAGGCAGAGAGAGAGGAGGAAGCAGGCTCCCCGCTGAGCAGAGAGCCCCATGCGGGGCTCGATCCCAGGACCCTGGGATCATGACCCAAGCCGAAGGCAGAGGCTTTAACCCACTGAGCCACCCAGGAGCCCCCAGCATCAGCTTTCTAAAGCATAAATCCAGTCACTTCAAAAACTGTTTAATCTTCTCAGAGTCCTGGGATCGAGCCCCACATAAGGCTCCCTGCTTGGTGGGAAGTCTGCTTCTCCCTCTCCCTTTGCCCCTCCCCAGTTCATGTGCACATGCAGGCAAGCACTCTCTCTCAAATAAATCTTAAAAAAAAATCAAAATGTATAAAATACTTAAGTACTTAGGGTTGAAACAACAGTGTCTAAGATTTGCCTTAGAATTCCCTAGCAAAAAAGGGGCACCTGGGTGGCTCAGGTGGTTAAGTGTCACCTTTGGCTCAGGTCATGATCCCGAGATCTTGGGATTGAGTCCCACGTGGCTCAGCAGGGAGTCTGCTGCTCCCTCTCCCTCTGCCTCTCCCCCTGCTCATGCTTTTTCTCTCTCAAATGAATAATCAAAAAAATCTTGGGGGTGGGGTGGGGAAAGAATTCCCTAGCCAAAAAAAAGTGGGGTGGGAAGGAATAATGAAAAATTACGACAGTGTTGATTAGTGACAGTCACACAGAGATTTGTTGTACTCTCCTGTGTATTTTTGGAATTTTTAATCACCAAATATTATAAATAAAATCTATTATAGAAAGAAATGGACAAAAGACTTGAACATATAATTCATAAAGGAAGGTGTGCAAATAGCCAATAAGCATATGCAAAGGTGCTGAACGTCAGCAGTTATCAGGGAAATGCAAATTAAAAGCACGATGAGGGGCGCCTGGGTGGCTCAGTGGGTTAAAGCCTCTGCCTTCGGCTCAGGTCATGATCCCAGGGTTCTGGGATTGAGCCCCGCATCGGGATCTCTGCTCAGTAGGGAGCCTGCTTCCTCCTCTCTCTCTCTGCCTGCTTCTCTGCCTACTTGTGATTTCTGTCTGTCAAATAAATAAATAAAATCTAAAAAAATAAAAAATAAAAAAATTAAAAAAAATAAAAGCACGATGAGAAGCCATTTTACACGTTCTAGGACAGCTAACACAAAAATCCGGAAAAACACAAATGCTGATGAGGGTATGGAACAGGTGGAACTCTCAGACACATACATGGCTGACAGGAGAGTAAAATGGGCCAATCACTTTGGGGACGCCTGGGTGGCTCAGTTGGTTAAGCGGCTGCCTTCAGCTCAGGTCATGATCCCAGTGTCCTGGGATCGAGTCCCACATCGGGCTCCTTGCTCGGCAGGGAACCTGCTTCTCCCTCTGCCTCTGCCTGCCTCTCTGTCTGCCTGTGCTTGCTCACTCTCTCTCCCTCTGTCCCTGACAAATAAATAAATAAAATCTTAAAAAAAAATAAAAAAAAAAAATGGGCCAATCACTTTGGACAACTGTTTGACAGTTTTTCATAAAGTAAAAGCAATTCCACTCCTAATTATTACCTAAGGGAAATGAAACATGTCTATAAGATTTACACAAGAATGTTCACAGCAGTCTTCCTTATTGTGGATAAAATCTGGAAACAACTCAAATATCCACCATCAGAAGGATGGATAAGCAAATTGTTGAATTTTAAAACTGAATACCACTCAGCAATAAAAAAAGAAAAAAAAAAAGAACTCTGATGTGTGTAATTACATAGAAGAATCTCAAAAATGTTATGCTGGGTGACAGAAGCCAGGCACAAAAGAATACCTACTGAATGATTTCATTTATATGAAGTCCAAAGACAAAAATAATGTGACAATCAGTACAATACTTGCTTCTGGGAGGCAGCAGTGAGAATTAGCTGGAAACGGGCATGGAAGAACTTTCTACAATGATGAAAATGCTCTATATTTTGAACAGTGGTGTATGAGAATATTTAGCTGTCAATACTCATCAGACAGAACACTAAATTTCTGTTCATTTATATTTCGTGTATACCTTACCTCAGTAACAACAAAAAATACTTGTTTAGAGCTTAGGGAGGAGTAGGAACTAGAAATTAGGAAGTCAGAGAATGGATGATGGTTGCAGCTCAGAGAAGTAACCAGAGTAGTAGGTAACTTCTACTCAGAGAAGAGGAAAAATGTGGAATGAGAGTAAAAGACAGCTAGAGTGGGACTGTGGGTAAATTGTTCCGGAATGAGACAGAAAGATGTGCTTGTGTCTGAGAAGCTGTCAGGGAGATATGAAAATGGCAGGATCTCTAAGACAAAAGAAGAGAACTTGAAAGAGGAGGAAGTTAGTCAGTGATATGAAAAAGCAAGGAGGAAAAAGTCTAACAAATGTGCCAACTGGAGGTTGTCTGGGATTCTATTTTCCTTTATGATAAAATTTATTAATGCTATATACTTTGTTTCCTGCTTTAATTAAATTGAATGTCTGTTATAATGTCAGCAGTTTGCCATGCTCTGTAAACCATACAACCATCCTATGAGGTACATATCTTTTTCTCAAATTTCCAGCTAAGAAAACTAAAGCCTAAGGGATCTTGGCTGGCTCAGTTGGTAAAGCATGTGATTCTTGATCTTGGGGTTGCGAGTTCAAGCTCCATGTCGGGCATAGAGATTACTTAAGACAAAATAAAACAAAACCACCAAACCTGAAGTTCAGAGAATTTAAGTGAATTACTTAGAGTCAGTCACACAGATAGTAAGCGAAGAGCCAGTGATTCATTCCCTGAATCATCAACAGAGCATTCCTAAGTTCCTACTACGCACCAGGTATGTGCTAGAAGCTGGGGTACAATGATGGCTTTGGATGTTGATTAAAGACTGAGTTTGATGAGGATAGAAGAGTAGTTGCTGGACTTGGCAAGATGAAGTCACTGGTGATTTCAACAGGAGCGTTCCCCTGAGTGACAGGAGCCAGTGCAGAACAGACTCAGGTGTGAAGGGGAGGTAAGAAGCAGAAACAGAGTGTAGGCAGATTTTTTAAAAAGAACTGTGGAGAAGGGATATGGGGCAAAAGACTTTTAAAAGATGGGAGGCATGAAACCTCATTTGCATGCTGACCAGAACGATTCACTAGAAAAGAAGGGACTGCCACTGTACACTGGAGATGAGAGGACCAAGAGAGCTAAAGAAGCAGGGGGGTGTATCCAGGCCTTTCCCCTCGTTGAGCAGAATCATGATGCATGGGGCAGGAGTGGTTCCCCAGGCAGCGTGAGCAAGTGCGAAGGCATGAATGCTATACCCAGTTAAGAGTCATATGGATGCTGAGGTGCCTGGCTGACTTGGTCAGTAAAGTGTGCAACTCTTAATGTTGGGGTCTTGAGTTCGAGCCCTATGCTGGGTGTAGAGATTCCTTAAAAAAACAAAATATTTTAGGGGCGCCTGGCTGGCTCAGGCGGTAGAGCATGTGACTCTTGATCTTGGAACTGTGTGTTCAAGCCCCATGTTGACTGTAGAGATTACTTATTAATAAAAAAAATTTTTTTTTAAAGATTTTATTTAGGGGCAACTGGGTGGCTCAGTGGGTTAAGCCTCTGCCTTTGGCTCAGGTCATGATCTCAGGGTCCTGGGATCAAGCCCCATGTTGGGCTCTCTGCTCAGCTTCCCCCCACCCCACTTGCCTCTCTGCCTACTTGTGATCTCTGTCTGTCAAATAAGTAAAAATCTTAAAAAAAAAAAAAAAAGATTTTATTTATTTTTTTGACAGAGAGAGACACAGTGAGAGAAGAAACACAAGCAGGGGTAGTGGGAGAGGGAGAACAGGCTTCCCATCAAGCAGGGAGCCCAATGAAGGGCTCGATTCCAGGATGCTGGGATCATGATCTGAGCCGAGGCAGACGCTCAACGACTGAGCCACCCAGGTGTCCATAAAATCTTTTTTTTTAAGATTTTATTTATTTATTTAAGAGAGAGACACAGCGCACAAGCAGGGGGAGCATCAGGCAGAGGGAAAAGGGAGAAGCAGGCTCCCTGCTGAGCAGGGAGCCCCATGCTGGGTTCGATCCAAGGACTCTGGAATCATGACTTGAGCTGAAGACAGAACGTTTAATCGACTGAGCCACTCAAATGCCCCACTTAAAAATAAAATCTTTTTTTAAAAAAAAGAGTCATACGGGTAGCAATGAAGACACATGTTCCTGGCTCAAATGTCACCCTACCGCCAAAAGGACACAGCACTGGACCCTCCTACTTCAGCCTTTCCCCCACACATTAACACTATCCGCTGTAGGCCTATGGGGATACAAAGTCAGAAATGAGACTCACGTCATCCAACAATTTGCCTCCCTCTGGATCCATCTTAGAAAGTTCTCGAAATGCTTCATCCCCCACAAAGCAAATTTCATGTCCATCCTACACCGATAAAGAGAAAAGAAATCTGGCAAAAAGACACCTTGAAGAAACCCCTGGTGCAGCCCATCCCTTTCTTGAGTTAATACTTACAGGGTCAGCCAGAATGACCACTTGTACTGTTGCTTTCCCTGGTGTATCCAGACTCACCAGGGGAGTCAGAATCTTCTGGTTCTCCCTTTTCATCAAGTCTTCTAAGTCCAGTAACTGGAGGAAAATAAAGAGGGAAAGCGAGCAAGGGGTCATGTACCACTCCCACACTATGGTCCTTGTCAGCCCTAGGGGAGTATCAGATCAATCAGAGAGAATCCAGGCACCACTTGTTTGATTTTATTATCTCAGCCGCTCTTGAGACAACTGGTGAACTTGATAGCAAGCCACAATTGGAACAACCTGAAGAAGGGAGGGTTGAGGTTCTTAGCTGATTCAATTGGCTAGTCCCAGAGCTTACACGAAAGATCCAGGGACAAACATTACCTCTTTCTCGGGGCAAGAAAAGGCAATTCTTCCAAAAGCTGCTGCATGATCAATTCTACCCTTGATACCCTGCAGCTCCAGCTTACACTGAAAAGAAGAAAGAAGGTGGGTCTAGTTTTTTGGAACAGGTTATGTGGTTAAAAGAAAAAAAAAAAATCAAACAGTACTAAAGGAATAAAGTAAAAACTATCTTTCCCTTCTACTCTCTCCCAGAGGCTTCCTGTGTGTCCTGCTAGACACATGGCATGCACAGATTTTTTTTTAAATACAAACAGTAGCATCATTTACACATTATTCTGTCCCTTGCTTTTTTTATCCAATGTTACTCCATTGGCACATAACAACTCACCCTATTCTTTCTGATAGCTGCACAGTAATTCAATCCATGGATAAACCAAAAAATATTGAACTATACCTCTAATGCACAGGACATTGAGGTTATTTCTTATCTTTTGCTATTTCAATGCTAGAACAGATAACCTTTTACACATTTCCTTGCGCACTTGAATGGTGAGTACAGCTGTGAAATAAATTCCTATGAGTAGATGTGCTGGGTCAGAGTGCAAGGACTAAATCATGTTCAGATGCTAAGTTATTAAAAGAAAAAAGATAAAATAGATTATCATTATAGTACTAGATGTTGTCTCCCTCTGTTCTGACTCAGCAATTCCATTTCTGAAAGGCTATATCCCCAAATATAAACAAAGGTAATATCTGGGTGATGAGGTTATCAGCAATTTCTATTTTCTTCTGTTTATCTCTGTAAATATTGAATCACTGTGAAAAAACTCTTGAGAATAACCTTCACGTAACTTCGTTTATAAGCCAAACTCAAAGTAACAGATTACTTCTCTCCAAGATCACTCACCTGGTTATCAGCATAGCCCAGCAAAGCCCTTTGCTTCTCTTCACTTTTTTCATAAATTTTCATTCCCAGTAGATTAGACCAGTAGTTCAAGGACTTCTTAAGATCAGACACTGCTAGAGTTACTTTTAATATAGAATCTGGAGAGTAATAAAACAATAGCAATTTATAGATCAGTGCAATGGAATCGAAGAAAGACTAAATCAGGCTTGAGTATATATAAGAACTTAGTATATTTTTTTCTGAAAATTTTATTTATTTGACAGAGAAAGAGGAAGAGAAAGTGTGTGCACAAGCAGGGGCAGCAGAGGGAGAGGGAGAAGCAGGCTTCCTGTGGAGCAGGGAGTCCTATGTGGGGCTCAATCCCAGGACCCCAGGATTATGACCTGAGCAGAAGGTAGACGCTTACCTAATTGAGTACCCAGGTGCCCCAGGAACTTAGTTTATGATAAGAAAGGGATTTTAGGCTTAAGGATTAAGTTTAAAGAATGAAACCATGAAAATACTAAAAATAGGTCATTATTGCTACAGCTTAGAGGTGGAAAAAGTTTTTTTTAAAAACCTGACACCAGAGATAGAAAAACCATGAAGGAAAAAATATACTAGGTTACTTGCATGAAATGGAAAAATTCCTAGGCAATAACCACCAAAAAAAAAAAAAAAAGAAAAGAAAAAGAAACGAAAAAAATTATAATCAAAGAATAAATGACAAAGTAGGAAACATTTTTGCAACATATATGATAAGAAGTCCTTAATATTTAAATAATCTTCAAACATTACTAGGAAAAGATGAACATCCTAGAAAAAAAATAGGTAAAAAGCACAAAGTAGTAATTCACAAAGAATGAAGTGGAATGGTCAGTGAACATATAAAAAAAATTCAACCTCACAAATAATCAAAGAAACTAGAATTAAAACATTTTGTTATTTCATTGGCAAATAATTTTAAAAGTTACATTGTTAACTGTGATAGGGCAGGGGGAAAAAAATCACAATCATATAATAGGGCAGAGGGCAAACTAGAACGCTTCTGGGCAACAATTTGACAGAATGTACCCAAAGCCTAAAAAAAATGTAAACAGCTTTTCAAAGAGCAATCCTATTATCACCAATTAAAGAAGTAATTGCAAATGTATGAAGGCCTTTCAGGACAAAGACATCTTTACAGTGCTGCTCATCAATGAAACACAGGGACAACACAAATATCCAACATTTAGACAACGGTTTAATCTTCCCCCCATGTAATAACGGTAATAATAATGGAATCGTTACAATGGAACATATGACATATAGTTAGATTTTTTTTGGATAAACGACTGGAAAAATACACTCTAAAATGTTAACAGTGATTATCTGGCTATGTGGGTACTGTTTTCTTCTTTCTTCTTCTTGGCTTATCTGTCTAGGGAAAAAAATCTATTTTTTGCAAAATGGATAAAAGTTATACTAAAACATTTAACATCATTGGAAGTTTTTATATTGTAAGGTGACCTTCTGAAGAACTGCTCTATGATAAATTCGGTATATTCTTCTTTGGTTTTCACTGCCTCAGCCCCATTTGATAGAACAGCAATACCATGACAAAGGCGAAGTGTTTCTCACAGATGCCTCTGCCTGCCAGACTGTTCCTTTTTCCTGTTCACTGAGAAATCAACAAATTCCAGCCAGCTGAGTCCCTGAAGGATGAAGGACAGGAATGGTAGCAAGTGGGCGAGACTACCCAGGACCCAGTGAGTAAAAGGAAGGCTGGACACCAGCTAGACTGATAGATCTGACCCAATTACCAAATGGAAATTAACGCCACAAAGGTTTTATCATTCCAAAGGACAAAAACATCTTGGGATTGTGGGGCTCTCCATTTTTTAGGTATCTTTTAAAATTTATTTTTATTTTTATTTTTTTTTAAGATTCTATTTATTTATGGGCGCCTAGGTGGCTCAGTGGGTTAAGCCTCTGCCTTTGGCTCAGGTCATGATCTCAGGGTCCTGGGATTGAGCCCCACATTGGGCTCCCTGCTCAGCAGGGAGCCTGCTTCCCCCTCTCTCTCTGCCTGCCTATCTGCCTACTTGTGATTTCTCTGTCAAATAAATAAATAAAATCTTTAAAAAAAAAAATTTTTATTTATTTATTTGACAGAGAGAGAGATCATAAGTGGGCGCCAGAGAGGATGCGGAGAAAGGGGAGCCCTCCTACACTGTTGGTGGGAATGCAAGCTGGTGCAACCACTCTGGAAAACAGCATGGAGGTTCCTCAAAAAGTTGAAAATAGAGCTACCCTACGACCCAGCAATTGCACTACTGGGTATTTACCCTAAAGATACAAATGTAGTAATCCGAAGGGGCACATGCACCTGAATGTTTATAGTGGCAAAGTCCACAATAGCCAAACTATGGAAAGAACCGAGATGTCCATCAACAGATGAATGGATAAAGAAGATGTGGTATATATATATATATATATATACAATGGAATACTATGCAGCCTTCAAAAGAAATGAAATCTTGCCATTTGCAATGACATGGATGGAACTAGAGGGTATTATGCTTAGCGAAATAAGTCAATCCGAGAAAGACAGCTATCTATGATCTCCCTGATATGAAGAAGAAGAGATGCAACTTTGAGGGGGGGGCTTGGGGGTAGGAAAAGAATAAATGAAACAAGATGGAATTGGAAAGGAGACAAACCATAAAAGACTCTTAATCTCACAAAATAAACAGGGTTGCCGGGGGGGAGAGGGGTAGGGAGAGGGTGGTTTGTTATGGACATTGGGGAGGGTATGTGTATGGTGAGTGCTGTGAAGTGTGTAAACCTGGTGATTCACAGACCTGTACCCCTGGGGCTAATAATACATTATATGTTAATAAAAAAAATTAAAAAATCTTTCACTGTCCACAAAATAAATAATAGACTCTTTCACAAGGCTTATAAAACGTGACCATCTGCCAGTAAGTCCTACAGCACCCATCTAACCTCCCACACTGGAACAAATCGTTATTTCCTTTGCTGAGCTCCAGATGAAAAGCACGTAGCATTGCACACACAATCAGACTCAGTACGAGGGGCATTTGGGCACTGAGGCAGACCAGTGGAAGGAAGAGAATATATGCGCCCCATCTCAGGTCCACTTAAGGAAGTGTGCCCACGCACTGAAATGGCAGGCAGAACCGCCTTTGCTATTCACTGGTGTCCTTCTCTGCTATTGTTTTTCTTTTGGCAGAGCAGAAGGTGCAGGGATTACACCTGGGATGAGGATGGTTCTGCAGTAAATGAAACATGTCGTGCAAAGTTTCTTTCCACATGGCAGTCAGCGTGCTGGGCCCCTCACTTCCCTTCCACCCTCACTCACCTAGCGCCAGCACTATGGTTTGTGAAACTGACCTCAGCGGGAGAGAGAAGACCAACCGGTCTAAGGATAAAACCTATCTGCGTTAGCAATGATTTATTCAGAGCAGGATTGTGAATCAAATCTGACCAGGAAGTCTGCAGGAAACTTCCAGAAGAGTTTTGCTCTGCTCTTAATAAAAGCAACAGGAAGTCAGTCTCTCCTGCCATATGAGAAGTGGAAGCAGGTAGCCCCAGTTGCTACTGGCAGCCACCCAACAACCACAAGAGAACCGGCTCTAGAAGTAGACCCCTACAGACAAGAGGATGGAGAGACAGAGAAAAGTTGGATTCTTGATGCCATTGTTGAGCTGCTGAATCAGCTAACCTATAGAATACCTGCTCTGTCAGCTATTTTCTTATTGTCCATGCTAGTTTGAGATCGGTTTTCTGTTACAGCTGAAACAGATATACTCCCAACAGAACAGAATCAGAACCAGTTAGATCCCCTAGAATTATGCACTAAAGTTCTAATATGAAAATATGATCTCTCGGGATGCCTGGGTGGTTCAGCTGTTTAAGTGTCGGATTTTTTAAATTTCATCTTAGGTCATGATCTCAGGGCAGTAAGATCGAACCCCACATAGGGCTTGACACTGGGTGTGGAGCCTGCTTAAGATTCTCCCTCTCCAGGGATGTCTGGGTGGCACAGTTGGTTAAGCCTCTGCCTTCAGCTCGGGTCGTGATCCCAGGGTCCTGGGATCGAGTCCTGCACTGGGCTCCTTGTCTGGCAGGGAGCCTGCTTCTCCCCCTACTGTTCTCCCCCTGCGTGCTCTCTCTCACTCACTCTCTAAGAAGAAAAAAAAAAAAAGATTCCTCAAAGAATAAGAAACATTGGCTTAGGAGAGATAACATGTCAATATAAAAACTCCACAGGAGAAAGAGATCTGGTTCCTCTCTCCTTTCATCAAAGATGGCGTTACACAGAGGGCTTTTATTAGTCCCAGTATAATTACCTGACTGAGGTGGGTTGTGATTCTGCAAATAGAACTTATATCCTCCTGGGGCCTTGATTTCAAAAACACCTTCCGTAACTTCATTAAGTGGCCACTCCAGCTTCCTGGCATTGCTGACAGCCTGGCTAGAAGCGAGGGTGATACCCTATGACAAAAAACAATATTACAGATCTTTTCTAGAGCAAGATAATGAGCCAAAACCATCATGTTACCTAAGATTTAATTGGCATTCAAAATTTTCTTCTAGTGATTTTTAAAAAGATTTTATTTATTTATTTGAGAGACAGAGAGCAAGCACAAGCAAGGGGAGCAGCAGAGGGAAAGGAAGAAGCAGGCTCCTTAACCTGGGGCTCCATCCCGGGACCCTGGGTCATGACCTGAGGCAAAGGTAGACGCTTAACTGACTGAGCCACCCAGGCGCCCTGAGAAGTTTGACCATTTTAATACCAAAGATACTTTCTTTTAATTTTAAAGATCTAGTCAGAGAAATCTTGATTTTACCTTGGCCTGCCAGCTACCTACTTGAGATGTTTTATTTTTATTTTTGCTATTTATTTACTTATTTATTTTTAAAAGATTTTTATTTAATTATTTGACCGAGATCACAAGTAGGCAGAGAGGCAGGCAGAGAGAGAGGAAGAGAAGCAGGCCTCCTGCTGAGCAGAGAGCCCAATGTGGGGCTCAATCCCAGGACCCTGGGATCATGACCTGAGCCGAAAGCAGAGGCTTTAACCCACTGAGCCACCCAGGCGCCCCTATTTTTGCTTTTTAAACAAAAAAATTTGGGTGCCTGGGTGGTTCAGTCGGTTAAGTGTCTGCCTTCAGCTCAGGTCATGATCCCAGGGTCCTGAATTCGAGTCCCACGTCAGGTCCTCTGCTCTTCAGGGAGTCAGCTTCTCCCTCTGCCCCTCCCCTCACTTGTTCTCTCAAGCTCTCTCTCTCTCTCTCAAATAAATAAATAAAATCTTAAAAAAATTAAAAAATTTAAACCAACTATCTGGGTATTACTTAAAATTTAATCACAATACCTAAAAATATATACTATGCCTTCTGATAAGACCAGCTGCAGTTCTAACTGGGATTATCATAACAGCCTCTCTTTCCCTGAGTTGTCAATCCATCACCCACTCTGTAGCCAAAGTAAATTTTCTGATGCATACTCTACTCTCAAGACAGCAACCCTATGTTGTATTTCCCCTGCTTAAAACCCTTGATAGCTCATAGTTTCACTCAGGGATGGCTTCTAATGGCCTGAAAGGCCCAACACAACCTGATCCCATCGTTTCTGACCCCATCTCCTCCCACTTTCCCCTTGTTCTGTCTATTACAGCCAACCTGGCCTCCTTGCATTTTTTGGGAACATGCCAGGTACTGTCTGAGGGCTTTTGAATAGCCTGTTCTATCTGGATTGCTCTCCCCTGCAATACCCACGTGGCTAACTAACTCTCTTCTCTCACATGAGCTTTTCCACAAATGTCCCCTCCTCCCTGATACCCACCCTCAACACCCTCCTTAAAATTAAAACCAGTCATCTGTCCCATACTCCCCATCTCCCTTCCTCTGCTGTTCTTTTCCAATAACAATGATCACCTTTAAAACAACATAGTATGATTTATTTATTCTATTTATTATATATTGTCTGTCAGGCCTTGATTCCCTCCCCTGCCAGACATAGATTTTTGCCCATTTTGTTCACTGGTTATCCAAACTTCCTGGAACCGTGCCTGGTACATAGCAGACACTCAATAAATACTTGCTGTATGAATAAATACCACCATAAATAATTTAATACAGTTCATTTCACACAGTTGTTAACATACATGTAAACTAAATTCCTAGGTATGAAACTGCAAGGACCAAGGTCAAATGCATTATTTTGATACCACCAAACTGAAGTTGTAGTAATATATGCTCTTATAAAAGTAATGTATGAGAGTGGCAGTTGACTAACACCCTTTTTAACATGGTGTGCTATCACACTTCTTGATTTTTATCAATCTGATCGGTGACAAATGGCACCTTGGCAGTTGAACATCTTTTTCAATGTCTGAGAGACATTTCTGATTCATTTTCTATGGCTGTCTGTTCAGTTTTTGCCCCTTAAAAAAAATTAAGTTGTTGATAATTTGTTTTTAAAGATTTATTTGAGAGAGAGAGAGACAGACAGAGAGGGAGGAAGGACAGAGGAAGAGGGAGAGAATCTCAAGCAGACTCCCAGCTGAGCAGAGAGCTGGAAGCAGGGCTCAATCTCATGACCCCGAGATCAGGAGCCGAAATCAGGAGTTGGACACTAAGCAAGTAGGCCACCTAGGTGCCCTTGGATCCTCTTCTTTTTAATGTATGGGAATTCTTTACATAAATGGGAGTTCTATGTAACCTGTTTTTCTTTTTGTCCCATGAACTGAGGAGCCCAGAGTTTCCTTTTATTAGGGATATTTTATTACCAGAGTCTCCTAGGAAGACCCACAGTGGAGCAGCCCCGCTGTTCTCCACCTACATGACCTCTAACCCCTGCAGCACCATCAGTCAACATCTGACTTGAGCTGGTGACAGTATGATGGTGCCAAGATGCTTTTGCTCTTCCTTCCTCTCCCTGATTTAGATTTGGAGAGTAAGGAAAAGATAAGAAGAAACATGAAAACATTTTCATTTACACTCAATCACTAAATCCTATTAACTCTACCTCCTAAACATCTCTCAAATCCACCCAGGTCTCTCCATCTCCCACTACTGCATGAGTTAAGGGGCTTTGAGTCCCTTGCTGTACTACCCTCTGAGCTAGTTTCCTCGCTTCCAGTTTTGCTTTCCTCGAACCCAAAACCCATGCTCCAGCCAGGTGAATTCTTGCCCACCACATATACTGTGTCGTTCCCCTACTTCAAAAATGGCTTCACTCTGTTTTTAGAATAAAGTGTAAACACCCTAGTCTGATGGCCCCAGCTTATTTCTCCAGCCTCATCTTTGCCCACATACATCCACGTATGCTTTTTCCAATCTTGGCACTAATCGCACTCATCAGTCTCTTTCCTTGTTTCCCCCACCTGACAGGAAGCCCCTTAGGCCAGGGAACATGCTTCACTCTGCTGTAACCCCAGGATCTAACCAGGTAAGTCACAATAAATATAAATATAGTAAATATATATGTACTTATATATAACTATATATAAGTATAGTAAATATAAATATAAATAATATAGTAAGTTGCAATAAATATCTGTAAAATGAATAAATTAGGGCTACCTGGGTGCCTCAGTCAGTTAAGCATCTGACTCTTGATTTCAGCTCAGGTCATGATGTCACAGTCGTGAGATCAAGCCCCTCATTAGGCTCTGAGCTGGGCGTGGAGCCTGCTTAAGACTCTCTCTCTCCGGGTGCCTGCGTGACTCAGTGGGTTAAAACCTCTGCCTTTGGCTCAGATCATGATCTCACGGTCCTGGGATTGAGTCCCACATCTGGCTCTCTGCTCAAGGGGGAGCCTGCTTCCCCCTCTCTCTCTGCCTGCCTCTCTGCCTGTGATATCTCTGTCAAATAAATAAATAAAATCTTAAAAAAAAAAAAAAAACTCTCTCTCCCTAATAAAAATAAATAAATGAATAAAGACATGAAGAATGAGAAAAAGAAAAACAGACACTAATAATGTTAAATCTGAACTATCTCTTTCATTTATAAAACACTTTTATAGATATTTGAGTCACAAAAATTCCATTTAAATGTCATTATTATTTTAACATGAGTTAAGAGTGATAGCAGAATCAATTGACCAAAATAACATCTAGCATGAGATAGATTTGCTCAGCAGATCCTGAGAGAAAACTGGTTACTTCTATCTCACTGTGTACTTGGACCCGGTAGCATTCTATGTAGCACATAGTAGCTGCTCAATAAGAGGCAGATCCTGTAACTATTAGATGCACAGTGACTTGAACTCTCGCATGAATGAAGCAATGAATGCAGTATATGCAATGTTTCTCTCTCTTTCTCCTGAAAGCTTCTCCTGTTTTTCTCTAACTAGCACTGCCATAATAGCAGAGCCCGATCCTAATGGTTCATTAGAGAGAAAATATTTCTCTGTTTGATGATCAGGACCTGCTTAAGCAGACCAATGACTCCGGTCCTTCTATCTCTCAAGGTTCAGTCATTCCCCTAAAGGAGTCTTGTCTCTGTCAAAGCTGTCTCTAAGTCTTGAGTCTGCCTCCTACTGAACACTGGAAGAACACATTTCCTCCCAAAGCAGCTCTGAGACAGGTGCACAAGCACTAATCTGCACTCAAAAGCCATCAACTGAGCAGTCATCATACTTAAAGTTGTATCAGGGACCTCAGTAAAAGGCACAGCCAAAATCTGCTCAAACAAAATGCCATTTACCATGAAGTCATTGCCAAGCTTGTAGTGTCCAATGCCATAATTGTAGGTCAGTTCTGCGACAAAATGATCATCCTCAGGTCCAAATCCCACCATTGTCTTACTCCATTTCCCATCATAAGGCCTAGAAAGATGAAAGTAAATGAATCCAGTGAACACAGACAAAATCTGCATCAGGCCTCCCCTCAGGAACTCTTGGGACAGAACAGTAGGCAGTCCCCTCTGGTCCTCTAAGTACCTGTAAGGATGCGATGACCTCTCAGCTGTTTCTAAATGCAGCTATGGACAGTGCTCATGGGCCTCACCACCAGAGGCTCCAAAGATCACCTGTCTGGCACTTACTTGAGGGAAAGATTTGTTTACCTTTTCTTTAAAGCAGGGGACATACTCCTATAAAGATACTTCTCCAACCGGACCTTTATATTTTTGCATATCTCTCAACAAGCATGCAATTCTCATTAGGCCTTGGAATTTTCCAGTTTGCTATGGCTACTAAGCTAAGACACTCAATAAGACATTGCTTCATTTAGGGCCACTGGGTGGCTCAGTCAGTTAAGCATCTGCCTTCGGCTCAGGTCATGATCCCAGGGTCCTGGGATTGAGGCCCATGCTGGGCTCCCTGCTCAGGGGAAGTCTGCTTCTCCCTGTCCCTGCTGCTCCCCTTGCTTGTACTCTCTCTCTCCCTCTGTCAAATAAATAAATAAAATCTTTAAAAAAAAAATACAATGATTCATTTAGAGGATACACTTACTTGTGTTTTTTAGAGCTGTCACCTTAATTTATTGATTCCTAAATGTATTCTACTACCTTATACTCACTTCAAACAACTTTCTTCCGTTTTCCAAGGGTATTCAGAGCCTAAAGGAGATTTTAAGAAACAAGGTGTCATACCCATTACAGGTAGCTTTGCAGCCCTCTTCAAATTCCTCATGCCGCAGAATCTGATAAGGAAATTAGAATACCAAGTCAGGCAAACAAGATTGTGAAATCTACCTAGATTTGGAAGCAGCGCTGTGAAGTTAAAACCATCACCACGACCCAGAAAACCAAAGGATGGCCCCCAGCATTACAGAATTCGGATTTGGAATCCTGGCTGTCACTCAATAGTTGTCTGAGATTGAGAACGTTGCCTGAGAATGTTGCTTAGGGCCTGAGTCTCTCCATGTGTTGTGAGAATAGATAACTTATTACACCATCGGACACAGAAGAACCCCACACACAGTAGCCTCTCAATGTCTTAAGTTTCTATTCTCCTTTTTGATTCCCACAGCTATGGCTCCAGTTCAACTTCCTATCAGTTCTCTCCTAGACTATTAAAAATCATCTTTACTAATCTTTCCTTAATACCACCATAAAATTACGTCCCTCATGCACAACTCTGATCACAACATTACCCTGTTCTAAAATGTAAGAGAGCTCTCTACTTACTGTGCCATAAAATCCAAATACCTCAGTATTCAAGATACTATCAGAAGTAGTCCCAACCTATTTGTCCTGATATCCCATCTCAACTTCAACTAAGAAATCTAAGCTGAAGGCACAGAAAACTAGTGGTGTTTCCCAAACATACCTTATCTTTGCATGGGTTCTTTCAGTTTTTCCAGTATACTCCTCCCTCTAATCTTTGTAGAAATCCTGCCTATTTTTATAGATCAACTCAAATGCAAGATGTCCATGAATTATTTCCTGATGACCCAAGCTGAAGTTAAATCTTTCCTGTAGTAATTTTTAATAATACTAGTAGCTACTACTTATATAATACATATGATGTATCAGATATTCAGTGTTTAATCTTCACAACAACCCTTTAATCAATAAGGAAACATATTAAGGGAGAGTTTTGTGGTTTTTCATCACTTATGAAGTTTTCACTTCCATTACTGTTAGCTATGTACAAACCAAACTGTTATCTCCACCCCTATCCTATGCCAGAAGCTTTAGTTGAAGACAGACACTAAGGTCATTTTCATCTTTGCCACCAAAGCTGTCACCAACATAGGACCATGAAGCACAGACGATAGGTTTTAAGTGACTGATGAATTCAGGTAACTCCCTTGCCCTCTACATCTTCTGCACTCTCTAAATTGCACTCTTGCACCTCTAAAGCCCTGGCTTATCGGGAGCTCCCCAATAGCTTCCACCTCCATTTGCCACCCAGGTGATCCCTGCAGAATCACAGCTGATCAGCGCTGGAGGGGCCGCTTCCGGGTGTCGGAGACAATGGGTTCTGACTTCACACTTAGATCTGGACTGTTGAGAGGAGGGCCGGAGCATTCACCCGGATACCGAACACCCGTGAGAGACCATTCAAAGCAGGCCTGAGAAAAGCAAAGCTCTAAACAGGCGGATGATCTTAGCCGAAAGGCTCCAAACCGGAAGCGATTGGGTTATTGTTCATTGGGAGAGTATTATATTACTTTCTGTTTACTGTCTTTCCCACTAGACTGGAAAGTCCACGAAGGCAGAGCCTCAATATTTGTGAATGAACTCAAATGAAACAAACGTGTGTGGGGACACAGTCGGCGACTAATAAAGACCCCTTCCAAGATCACCAACCCAACCAGCAACATACAACGCTTCCTGAAGCTGAAACCCCAACAGGGCTAATGGGGAGACCAGGGCTAAGGTCGGACACCTGGGCGCCAGCGGAGATTCAAGACACACCCAATTGTCTCTTTCCTGGGCCAGTGGGGCGCAGCGGCCCCGGCCACCCACCCTCGCGCCCCAGCCCCTCTCGGCCCCGTCTGCACCTTCATCCCCAGGACATCGCGAAAGAAACGCGCGGTCTGGAAGCGGTTTCCCACTTTGAAGACGAAGTGCAAAGCTCGACGAGTAGCCATTGCCACAAGCACCACACATCCGGCAGAACTAGAAGCCTGCCAGCCCGCAGATGCGCAGACGGGTCGTGACGTCACTGGCCGCCGCCGGCGCGTTCCCGTGACGCAACCCACGGCGCGGGGGAAGATGGCGGCCCTGGTAAAGGGCTGGTGGTGGGCCACGCGGCCGCTGCTGTGGGTGGTCCAAACCTGGGACCTCGACGGGCGGCGCTGGGTCCGGGCGCTGCGGCGGAGCCCCGTGAGGGTGGTGTTTCCATCCGGACAGGTCGTGGAACGAAAGCCCACGGGCCCTGGGAAGCAGCCCCAGAGGGCTGCGGCTGAGGCCAGTCCCTACGAGCAGCGACCAAAGCAGCCGTTTCAGGTGTCCCCAACCCAGACGCCCTGCACCTGGGAAGAGTCGGGGCTTCGCTATGATAAGGCTTTACCCGGGGACAGAAGGCTGAGGTGATGTGTTCCTGAGACTTGTTTTGTATTCCACTTTCTCTTCCTACCTGCCAGCGGGAACTTAACGTTTTTCCTCCCATTGGAGGACTTCTCCCGGTATAACTCTCTGGTTTTTATTATGCTTGGAGGGCAGAATAAGTGTTTTCTTTGAAATTCGTTTATGTCTATGAAGCTCTTTATGTCTCTTAGAACTAGGTGTGTCTCCGTAACAAGGATGTTGGTAATTACCTGTCTTTTTGTTTCCACCCACAGCAGTGTAATGACAATAGTTAAGTCCAGGCCATTTCGGGAAAAGCAAGGAAAGATCCTGCTGGAAGGCCGCAGGCTGATTGCAGATGCCCTCAAGGCTGGTGCTGTGCCCAAAGTTTTCTTCTTTAGCCGTCTGGAATACATAAAGGAGCTACCCATTGATAAGCTGAAAGGTGTCAGCCTCATTAAGGTGAAATTTGAGGATATCAAGGATTGGTCCGACCTAGTAACACCACAAGGAATAATGGGTCAGTGGTTATACTATGTGTTACTAGAAGTAGAGATCTGGGATTACTTATTCATAATTGTCTTAGGGCAACACATTTTATTTGAACCAAATTCAAAATGTTTTCTTAAGACACCCAGAAAAAGGGGCACCTGGGTGGCTCAGATGGTTAAGTATCTGCCTCCAGCTCAGGTCATGATCTCCAGGTCCTGGGATCCAGCCCCATATCAGGCTCCCAGCTCAGCGGGGAATCTGCTTCTCCCTCTCTCACTCCCCCTGCTTGTGCTCTCTCTCTCTCAAATGAATGAATAAAATCTTAAAAAAAAAAAAAAAAAAGACACCCACCAAAAATACAGTTCTGAAATCTGTGGATCTTATAGTATTTTCAGTGGAAACTGCAGTCAGTTTTTCTGTCAATTGTATTATGGTTCTTTACAGTCTCTGGGAATAACCACTGTTCCTTAAACATTATAATTTTTTTTGGTAATTTCTTCAACCTTTAATGTCCAACTAAAATATAAGAAAATGTTTACAAAAATATTTAGCCCTCCATTTGCACAAGACTTCTGCCAGTGTGGTGATGCCTCTCCGGCGTTGACCCGTTATTCTAGAAGCTTACTTACTGAGGAGTAAGCTGCAAGCTGTTACCCTGCTTGGCCCATTGAACAGGAAACGGTGTCTTTATTTGTTTGATTCTAACAAGATTCTAATAGACTGTGAGGTCTATTAGCACTTGGAAGATATTTTTTCTAAATATGGAAAAACTAAATTTTTTTTTTTAAGATTTTATTTATTTATTTGACAGAGATCACGAGTGGGCAGAGAGGCAGGCAGAGAGCCTGATGTGGGGCTTGACCCTAGGATCCTGGGATCATGACCTGAGCCAAAGGCAGAGGCTTTAACCCTCTGAGCCACCCAGGCCCCCCAAAACTAAATTCTTTATATCTTTTTGACATTGGAATTATACCTTAGATCTGATAATTGAATGGCAGTAAGTGGAGAATTTTCTCTTGGATAGTAAGGGGCAGTTGGGGCAGGGTCTCTCATATCATTGTGCATGTGTTTCTTTGTGGTAAAGTTCAGCTGTTAGTTGGGAGAGGATATTCTGGGGACCATCTCTTGTTCTGTAATCCAGCAAGTCATAAGGATCTGTGACCCTACGCTTAGAACTCTCCTAGGGTGGGGATTTGGGACTGCTAGAGTCTTTCACTTACTCTAAGTGTTTGTGCTCTCGTTAGCTACACTTCTAATTCCTTACTTTATGCTACAGTGCAGGTATCACTCATTTTCACTATGCTTGCCACTTTGGGCCTGTGGGCTAACAGTGGCCAGCCCACCCAGGACTTCTGTAGCCCTCCTTGTCATGACTGCTTTCATTTCATGACTCTGAAAAATACATATTATTTAGCTTATTCTTATGTATTATTTATATCGGGGGGGCGGGGTCGGGCAAAGGGAAAAAGAGATAAGACCGCCTGTCAGACTTCCAGCACCTCTCTAAAATCCAGTGATAGAAGCAGGGCCTCTGGTAGAGAGCTCTTATCACTAGAGCTGATTAGGTAGAAGTTAAAGAATTCCTGAGGCCCCTGCCCCACTGAATGGTCTTAAAGCTATCTGTGGCTCCTAAGGGCAGGACCTTTAGACAGGTGCCTAATATCCTGGTGCCTTCATTGATGGCTTTAGGTGTAGGTATTTATGTGTTCTTGGTGTAAACAGATTGGACTGGCCTGTGGCGGGGGAGGGGGGCAGTTTAGGAGCCTCTGATAACATTAGGAGCCCACACACAGCATATATTGATTGTGTTTGCAAGAGTTTTTCATAGGAAACGTTAGGACATGTGCATAGAGATACAGGGATGTTCGCTGCAGGGTTGTTTATAATAGGGAAGAATGGAAAATAAGCTAAATGGCAGTCAGTTGGGGAAGAGCTAAATAAACCTGGGATGTTCATGTTACAAAATAGCGTGAAGCAGTTAAAATAAGGTAGCTCCGAATGGATCGATGTGGGAAGTTCTCTAAGACATCTAGTGTTAGAGAATTGAATAAGGTTACAGAATAACAGAGGGTGTGACTCTTTTGTGCAAAAGAAAATAGTGCCTCTTTATGGGTAGATGTATATATACGTAGGTAGATGCATGAAACGAAACGTTCTGAAGGGATACAGCCTCTGATCCAAAATAGTTATGGGGGTGGGGGGCACCTGGGTGGCTCAGCCGTTAAGGGTCTGCCTTCAGCTCAGGTCATGATCCTTGGGTCCTGGGATCAAGCTCCACATGGGGCTCCCTGCTCAGCGGGGAGCCTGCTTCTCCCTTTCCTACTCCCCCCTGCTTGTGTTCCCTCTCTCGCTGTGTCTATGTCAAATAAATAAAATCTTTTAAAAAAGCAAAACAGGGGCACCTGGGTGGCTCAGTGGGTTAAAGCCTCTGCTTTCGGCTCAGGTCATGATCCCAGGGTCCTGGGATCGAGCTCTGCATTGGCCTCTCTGCTCAGCAGGGAGCCTACTTCCCTTCCTCTCTCTGCCTGCCTCTCTGTCTACTTGTAATCTCTGTCAAATAAATAAATAAAATCTTTGAAAAAAAAAAAAAAGCAAAACAGTTATAGGGGCTGGGTATCACTGGTAGGACTGTATGTATGAAATTTTTTTTCTTAAGATTTTATTTATTTATTTGACATAGAGAGAAAGACCACAAGTAGGCAGAGAGGCAGGCAGAGAGAGTGGGGGAAGCAGGCTCCCTGCTGAACAGAGAGCCTGATGTGGGGCTCGATCCCAGGACCCTGAGATCATGACCTGAGCCGAAGGCAGAGGCTTAACCCACTGAGCCACCCAGGCGCCCCTGTATGAATTTTTAAAATCAGAATGTATTCCTGTATTGCTCATGTAACTTAATATAGGAAGATGGATAAAGTAATGAAAAGCCAAATAATTTCCTTGGTCACAGCAGACAAGTGAACCACCTGTTTTGTTTCCTCAGGGATTTTTGCCAAACCTGACCATGTTAAGATGACATACCCAGAGACTCAGCTTCGCCACTTGCTGCCCTTATTGTTGATTTGTGACAATCTCCGTGACCCTGGGAACCTGGGGACGATTCTGAGATCTGCTGCTGGGGCTGGCTGCAGCAAAGTATTACTCACCAAAGGTCAGAGCACTTGTTGCTGGGTGGGTCGGGTGGCCATTTGTAAGTGAGCCAGCTCTGTGGGTAGACACTCATGGATTTGAGTCTTGAACCTGCCCCTTATTAGCTTATATGTGAGCAATATTCTGAGTGTCGGTTTCCTCCTCTGTAACATGGTAGATAACAGAATCTACCTGGTAAGACTGAAGATTGAGATGGCATGCACGTGGGGTTCTCAGCACTTGGCTGAGTACTTGAGGAAATGCGGATTCTCTTTTAAAATTATTTTGACACCTGCTATATTATTAAAGAACTTAAAATCAGTCAGGGAAAGAAATAGATGCCAGTTTTAACATTTCAGGTCCTTCCTGTAATGATCTTGAGTTACCAAAATATTGGGTACATGAGACCTTTCTAACTCTTGACCTGCTGAATGCTATAAAAGGAATGATGCAGACGGAGTGTGATTATGAAATTGGGATGCATTTGTCTTAGCCTTGGGATGGGTCAAACACCCCCACACAAGTTAGCCTCATGACATTTCTCTCCTGTCATCAGAAATGGGATGAGTAGGGGGCGCTTGGGTTGCTCAGTCAGTTGGTTAAGCATCTGCCTTTGGCTTGGGTCATGATCCCTTGGTCCTGGGATCCAGCCCCATGTCAGGCTCCCTGCTCAGCGGGGAGTCTGCTTTCCTTCTTCTTCTACCCTTCCCTCTGCCTGCCCCCCATCCTGCTCTTTTGCTCTCTCTCAAATAAATAAAAACTTTAAAAAAAAAAAAAAGAAAAGAGATGAGCGGGCTTGGTTCTAAAGAGGCTTACCTAATACCTGGGACATACCTAAAAACTGCTTCTTACAACTTGTGGGGAGGGTGGGAGGGAGAGGATCATTCACTGTAAACTAGTAATGACACCCACTGCTGAGACTTGCCTCAGTGTTCCTTTCAACCCTTCATCCCTGTCCCACGTTGTTGGAATAGGTGGAGTAGATACAGGGACACCAGCATGAAGAGCTTGGTCTGGGGTTCCATCATCAGTACCCT